GGCCCGGGCGCGCCTGCCGCTGATTGGCCCGCGCTGGTTTGAATGGGGAGATTTCCACCTGCTGGAGCCGGAGCCGGAGCCGCCGCGCTTAGACCGGCCGCTGGCCACCGGGCTCATCACTACACACGGGGACCCCCTGGCTCGGGCATCTCGCTTTAGGCTGGAAGTACCAGTCCTACGGGGGGCTGGGCGGGCTTGGCCTGCTTGCCCTGCTCCCCTAGACCGCAATTAGCCTGTTTTGTAACCCAGCTTTGAACTCAGACCTGTAATCACCAGGCACCAAGCAAGGGCAAAAGAACAACCTCCTGGCCCAGGGCAGTAGAGTTTGGCAAAGAACAGGACATCCCCAGACAAGGCTGCAGCCCCCTTCTCTGCCAGCCTGGATTGTTCTCTGTGTCTCTGTCTCTCTCCTCTCCAGTCTCCTCTCTCCTCTCTCCTCTTTCCCTTCCTCCTTCCCTCTCTCCCTCTCCTTCTCCCTCTTGTTCTCACTCTGTGTGTGCGCGCGCGCGTACCAGTACTGGGGCTTGACCTCTGGGACTGGGTGCTGCCCCTTAGCTTTTTTGGTCAAGGCCGGGGCTCTACACTTGAGCCATACCTCTACTTCCTGCTTTCTGCTGGTTAATTGGAAATAAGAGTCTCATGGACTTTTCTGCCCTGGCTGGCTTCAATCACAATCCTCAGATGGCGGCTGCTTGAATAGCTAGGATTACAGACATGAGCCACCAGCACATGGCCTGGATTGCTCTCTTGAGCCTCCTCTTAGACTAAGAGCAGCCTGGCACAGGTCCAGATGGGAGCAGCTTGCTCTAGCCAGCCTCACACTTCCCTCTGCAGCCTGATATCATCAGCCAGCAAGGCAGACCCCTTCATCTGAGGAAGCAGGAGCAGTCTGAAATCTCCCCAGCCTGGTATAGGGAGGCAGAACTGAAGGGTAGGCCAGTCCATGGATTTGTCAGCAAACATTCATGAGACACCTCCAGGAAGTGGTTTCACACCAAGACATCTGCTCTGCAAATCTCTGACTGCTGTCACTGTGGGAGGGAAAGCTGCTGGTCCCATGTAAAATCTAAAAATGGGAAGTGTTGGAGTTTATCCCTCGTCCCTGACTCCATTGCCAAGTGTGTATTTGTGGCTCAGTGATCTATGAACTAAAGACAAGATTGGGGGCTGCAAGAGAGAAGATACAGACAGATAAACATGAGAGGAGAGGGTGGGGTGCGGGGGGGGGGAGAATATGAACCATTTGCCAGGAGCTGAGCTGAGCAATCGTCACAAATCATCTCAGATTTAGCTTTCACAGTCAGACTAGGAAGTATTAGCTGTAATCAACCAGGGAGAAATCTGAACCTCAGCCAGGTACTCGTGGCTCCCTCCTGTAATCCCACTTAGAAGTCTGAGACCTGGAGGATTGCAGTTCAAAACCAGACTAGGCAGAGAAGTCTGAGAGACTCCCACCTCCAATTAACTAGTAAGATGCTGGACTGGAGACATGGCTCAAGTGGTAGAGTACCATCTGTGAGCAAGTCAAATCAAGCAAGAGCTCAAGGCCCTAAGTTCAAACCCCAGTACCAGCATAATGGAAAGGAAGGAAAAGGAGGATGGAAGGAAGGAGGAAAAGAAAGAAGGAAGGAGAAGGAAAGGAAAGAAAAGGAAGGTCCTTTGTTTCTCCTCAACCTCCATATATGCCCCATGGCCAACAGCAAATGGAAATAGCAGAATTGCCTTCCTTTTTTTTTTTTTTTTGGTTGGTTATGGGGCTTGAACTCAGGGCCTAGGTGCGATCCCTGAACTTCTTTTGCTCAAGTCTTGAGCTCTACCACTTTTTGAGCCACAGAACCACTTCTGGTTTTCTGGTGGTTAAGCGAAGATAAGAGTCTCAAGGACTTTCCTGCCTAGGCCGGCTTTGAACCACAATCCTCAGAGCTCAGCTTCTTGAGGGGCTAGCATTACAGGGATGAGCCACCAGTGCCAGGCTCAGACCAATCTTCTTGAGGTAACTATGAAAACTAGATACCATAGGTTCCAAGGGCCACCAGCAGGGTACAGAAACTAGAGAAGGATACTTGTAGCAAACTAGGGGTCAGGCACAAATGAGTCATATATAAACTGTCAGATTATTTGAATCCTGGCACCTTGTACAACCCTGTCCTGCTCTCTCTCCCCTGAATCTTACACCAGAAGCAGCAGGAACAACAGCTCCTTCTCCAGGCCCCAACCTATTGACAGATGTACATACCTGAACCCTGAACCTGGGAACGCCTGATTCTCTTCCTAACTGGAGGAATCTGAGTCCAGGCATCCTTTTTGTGCAGGGAAGTGGCCGGGGCCAGCTGCTCCATCTCATCAGGGACAGTTACAGTCTCAGGCACAAGTCACAGGAAGTGGGCAGGATCCTGTGTTCTAAGGTGCTATACACCTGCAGGAGTAAGATCAGAGCATGAGGTAGGCACCACCAGAAGAGCAAAAAATGTTTGCTCCCAGCCAGAACTAGAATGCATGGCCTTCCCTGCATGCCCAGGGAAGAGGAGGGTGATACACTCTCCTCATGGCTCCACAGGGATCACTGTGGACGGAGCCCAGGACCACAGGGGACCTCCTTGCCCTCAGAAGGTTTTGAATAACCTGCAAATGCAACACTCAAAAGGATTAGACCTGGGGCTGGGAATGTAGCTTTGTGGTAGGAGTGCTTGCCTAACATGCACGAAGCTCTGGGTTCGATTCCTCAGTAGCACATAAACACAAAAAGCCAGAAGTGGCACTATGGCTCAAGTGGTAGAGTGCTAAGCTTGAGCAAAAGAAGTTCAGGGACAGTTCCCAAGTCCCTGAGTTCAAGCCCCAGGACTGGTCAAAAAGAAAAAAGAGGATGTGACCTGGCAGGAGAATGGTAGGGTTTTACTGTCTGCACATGGCCTGGAAGACACTCTCCAAGACCCACACTGGGCACTTGGCCCCTACTCAGGACAAAGATTCACTGCCTTGAGCTTCCCTCTGGCCTTCTCCTGCAGCTGACCAGTGAATGCTGGGAAGGTCTCAAGGCTGCCTAATCCTCAGCAGACCCTTCTGGATGGTACCACCTTCACCACCTGCAATACTTTTACATCTACCAATAAAGCTGGGTTTTGTTTGTTTGTTATTTTGGTGTGGGTTTTTTGTTGTTTTTTGGTTGTTTTGTTTTGTAGAGCCTGGAGCCTTCCTTTGCTTAAAAGCCCAGGTTGCCTATTTCTCAGCAGCTATAGGTCAGAAGTGTATGGGAGCCTGGACAGTGAACTTGGAAAGAGACTTGCCCTATGTACCTACATTGCCATACACAGTTGGCATCCAGAAAGTTTGGAGATCCTGGTTCTCTCTTCCTCAAAAAGGCAGGGGAGTTTGAAGTACAAGCCTGGCTGTACCTGCCCTGAACACTCCAGCACCCCCTAGGGGCCTCTGCAGCTATCTGTCACTTCACCCACACCCACACACTTTCCACATGTGCAGAAACATATCACACACTACTATACACACATATGCACACAGAGACACATCTCATATACATATACATATAGCACACATACACATCTGAATAAATACTCCAGATATACCTATTATATGTATTCAAGCTAATCCACACATTGTTATGTGTCACATACACAAGAATACAGGCATACACAAAATGTACTTAAATCCAGGCATTGGTGGCTTGTGTCTGTAGTCCTAGCTACTCAGGAACCTGAGGATCACTGTTCAAAGCCAGCCCAGGTAGGAAAGCCCACGAGACTCTTATCCCCCAACATACTACCTAAAAAGCCAGAATTAGAGCTGTGGCTCAAGCAGTAGAGCACTAGCCTTGAGGAGAAGAAGTTCAGGGACAGCTCCCAGCCTTGAGTTCACACCCCAGGCCCTGAGTTCAAGCCCCAAAGGAAAAGGCACAAAGGAAAAGAAGCACTTAAATACATTACATACACATACATGTAATGTATAATGCCCTGTCTCTGCTACTGCGCTAGTTTGATGACTCTTCAACTGAAAAGTAAGGATACATGTAATGTATAATGTATGTAATGTATATCTATAATGTGTGCATACATGTATGTATTTGTACATATAATATATGTATAATATATACATGTGATATATAATGTATAAAAGATACTACATTCATATACACGGAACGGTTATAGATATTTTTTACAGACTAACTTTAGAAGAAATATTTGGATTTGAAAAGGAAGGATGGATTTTTGTTATTGACTACAAAACAACCTAGTGGTTTAAATCTAATAAAAATAAAAAATTTTCTAAATAATAATAAATTAGACTACTAGATATTAAATATTATTTTAGTAGTATACTAGAAATAAAAGAAAAAATCAATGGAATAGAGTAGGAAGTCTGAGGTTAAAAAAATTATTTGGGGACTGGGAATGTAGCTTAGTGGTAAAGTACTTGCCTAGCATACATGAAGCCCTGGGTCAATTCCTCAGCACCACATAAACAGAAAAAGGTAGAAGTGGCACTGTGGCTCAGGTGGTGGAGTGCTAGCCTTGAGCAAAAGAAGCTCAGGGATAGTCCCCAGGCCCTGAGTTCAAGCCCCCAGAACTGGGCGTGGGGAGGGGAAGAAAGAAAAATACGTTGATTTCAAAAAGTGAGAAGAACCAGAGGCCCATAGCTCACACCTGTGATCCTAGCTACTTAATAGGCTGAAATCTGAGGATCACAACTTGAAGCCAGCCTGGGCAAGAAAAGTCCATGAGACTTTTATCTCCAACAAAAAGACAGAAATAGAGCTGTGGCTCAAGTGGCAGTGATAGAGCATTAGAC